TAATTTCATTCAAAACATGAGTCTGTAAGAAATGATGATAAATAGTTTTCTAAAATAGCAAATTAAAAGATAATTGAGTTTGATGTCTATTTACCTCCATGTATGTGAATATTGACAACAGATCTTTGCACTGATTAATCTTGAAACATTCGTTTGTTGCTGTGAATGCTAGTTCAGATGCTAAAGCATTCACATGCTCCACCTATTGAGATTTAGTTGTAAAATAGATATATTAAAATTGAATTTTCTATAATTTCCATCATCTAAGTCATACCATGTGGTCAACAGCATCACAGGTTGTGGACTCAAGCAACTTATTATCATATGATTTGAAAATATCAGAAGCAGCCATGATAGAAGTTTTGCACAAAGCGCTTCTTGGATTCTCCATCGCCTTCACTAAAACCAACAAAACCTTTTCCCTATATTCATATAAAAACACCACATATTAGTAAACTCCACAAAATCGTTAACCAAATAATAATAATTCTAGCACCAATCTTAGATCAAATCTAATACTTTTTTCGTTTTCAAAATAATTGACTTGTTAACCATTTTAATTCATTGTGCACACCCTTCTATGTTGACAACCCTAGTCATATACTCATATTCATCAGCAAAAATAAAACAGTAAAATCCAAAAAATCAGTAAGCTATCCATATTAACAGCTGAATCGAACCAAATTAAATTTTTAGACACAAATAGAATTTTGAAGAAATACATTACTTTTATTGAGATTATAAGAAATTTGCTTGAATGAGCAAATCAGTTGTTGGATACTTGAATTTGTACATAATGAAACTAAATGAATTCAAAGCCATAGAGAGGGCCAGTACCTTTAGGTTGAACTTGTCATTACCGAGTCTGTGTCAAAGCGAGGGATAAGGGAGAGGTGGGGCCAATCTTCATCCATCCGCCTAACATCATTTAACAAATCACAAATCTTCAGCCAATCCTTGGATTCCATTCCTTCAATTAGGCCCTGCGTTCATAAAAATCAGAAAAAATGAATCAATTTACACAAAATCACGAACTGGGTTCTTGATATAGATTTAGTTTTCATGGAACTAAGACACATGTGTAACTGGAAATTAACATCACGATCAGAAATGGAATTTAGATTTTTAGATGAGATATAACTGAAATGGTTTCGAAGTAATCACTGAAACGGAATATATTTACCTGGAACTTGACATCAGGGTCAAAAAGGGGTTTTAGATCTTCGGAGGAGACATAATCAACAGAATCAACAACAGGAGCAATAGGATCAAGAAGAGCTATGTTTTCGTCATTAACATTCGGATCTACATGCTGCTTAGGTTTAGGGTTAGGTTTTGCGATGGAATTCGAAATTTTAATAGACTTTTTAGGGCGTTTAGGGGTTAAGGGCAATGTCGAGTGACGCCATGGACCGCCGATGGATCAAGATTCTGGTGACGCTTTGTGAGGCGGAGGTTACTTTTGAAGACGGTGAACTAGTAATCGTCTTCTCGTTTGGAATGTAGAGGGGGAATGGCGTCGATCGGAGGAGATGGAGGCGGTTGGACGCGAGGAAGACGTGTGTGTACTGAGTAATTTCTTTAACCCTAAAATGCCCTCAATACCATTTAATTTCAATGCCCCCGTCCCTTTATTTTCCACTTATTTACAAAAATGCCACAATGCATCATGACCATCCTTTTTTTGATCTAACGCTCCAATTTTAGTTCTCGGGTTCTCGGAAAACTATGAGTTCTCAAATGATCATTCCTATATATATATATATATATATATATATGACTGATTTTTTACAAGATCTGTAATAAATCATAATATCTTAATTCTAATTGTCCTTTTTATATATATATATATATATATATATATATATATATATATATATATAAATATAACAAGTTTTTACTTGCTTATTTAAACAAATTTATGAATACTTTCCTTCATGTTCATTATTGTCCCATATTATTGCCAAACTTAATGACATTTGATCAATACATAAAATTTTCTTTAGTAATTTTACAGTCTCACAGCCTTTCAATACTCTTTATTTAAATAACCACTTCAAAACAAAATACATTTCTATATTATTGAACTATTTCTTAAACTATATTTTCATTAAAATAATGTTATAATAAAATGTTAAACTCATATCATATTACTGATAAACATCACTTTGTTCATACTTCCATAATTCATATGAACTTATTTTCTTTATAAATTTTTTTACTTATCTTGATATTTATCTCCCAAAATTTTAATGAAGTTATATGTAACATCCCATTTCAAGGTAATCTTTAATTAAAGGCACAGGCGGTAATTCACCTGGAAAAGACCCCGGGTCTCAAATGATTGAGTTTGGACCATAAGGAAAAATGTTCTTGGGCTAGGTGTTAAGACCTTGGGCTTAATTCAGACTTTGGGCTTGCTGGCCCAAGGGTGCCACGACGTGGTAGGCTAATGACCATGCCATGACACATTAGTTAAATAAAGAAGTGTGGCTGGATGGCTGCTACAACATGGCGAAATGATGGGCCCAACGTGGTAGTTGTTGTAGCCAAAGCCCAAGATTTTAGGGCTTCTCCTATATTTAAAGACCTTAACTCTTGGATTATGACATTCGCTTCGGCCTCCATTCCCCCTTTTTGAAACCCTAGCCTCCCTTCCATGGTTGTGAGCATGGTGGCTTGGTTTTGAGCTTTATTTCATGGTTTTGAGAAGCTTGAGGAAGAAGGAACTCCATCTTGGTGCAAGGAAGCAAAAAGCTAGTTTAGATCCTTCATATTCTTCAGATTTCTGGGTCATTTGTAACGCCCCAAAAATTATAAGGTAAAAATTTCATTTTTAATTCAATCAGAAACACCAATTTTCCTTTTTCCAATCATTCAAAAGCATATTAAAATAAAAACAGTTATCAGAATACAATCCCAAAAATCTATTGTGGAGTTTTTCAAGCCTAAGCTTTTTCCAAAAAACTTATTGATTAATAAAATTTTCTATTTAGTTTTTTTTTCAATGATTTCGTTGGTTCATAAACTTCTAACGAATTGTAAGTACATAAGATCCACCAAAACCCAACAATGTTGTGAAAAAAACTATCTAATTGTGGATATATATATATATTATATATATATATATATATATATATATTATATATAATATATATATATATATATATATATATAACCTTTTTAAAAGATCCATCATGAATGCTTTTATGTCCAAACAATCATTACAATTCTTAAAACGAAAACTACGAGTAAATTACAATTTTGGTCTATGTGATTAGCTCCAATATGCACTTTTAGTCTAATATTTTATTTTTTTTAGCATGGTTGGTCTTGTGATTTCAAAAAATTACACCGGTGGTCCTTGAGGCGGTTACCATCTAAGATGCTCCATTAAGTACATGTGAAATGACGATATTGCCAATCTGTTTGTTCTTTTCTTATTTTTTTTATTCTTATTTATTTATTTAATTATTAAATATAATAAATATAAAAGAAACATACAAATTTAGCCAAAAATCTAATTACTTTTTAAAAAATAACTTAAAAAATCATTTATTTAGAAACTAACCAAGGAATTGTCTTCTTGAAGTGTAATTTTGGCTCAATTTTTTGGCCTGTGACCTATCAAGAATGAGTGTCTATAAAATATATTTTTTTAGATTTTTCTAAACAAATCGTAGGTGGTTGTGCTCCACCTGCGATTTGCTCTGCTCCCACCTACAATTTACTCTAAAATTATCTTGCCTTTTTTTTAACTTTCTTAAAATCGTAGGTACAAGCTAGTGATGCACAAGTCGTGCATCAATTACTTGTACATTCGCATAAGGACTATCCACCTGCAAAAGTACAAGTCCCTAATGCACGAATTGTGCATCAATAACTTGTACGTTCTCATCTACACATGTATCTACGAATGTACAAGTTATAGTGCACGATGTACACATCAAATACTTGTACATTACACTCCAGATGCGAAATGCTCTCAAAACCCAACATACTTCTGTTATTTACTATCCCCCCAAATGTGATTCGCTCTCTCTCATACCCTTTAGATAGGATTTGCTCACCAGATTTCATATATTATCTCCTCTTTTTTGCAAATAAATCATAAATAAACATATCCTAAATGTATAAAACTTAATAAAACATGATTAAAACACTAAATAAGTAGTGATCTTATAAAGTTTTCGGGGGAATACATTTCTACAACCATTAGAGAGGTTGAGAGAATTTTATGTAAGGTGAAAACTAGAAAATAAGAGTATTTACTTCTGCCCCATGGGTTGTTATTGGCCCAAATCGCAGCCCAACATACTCAAATAGCAGCTGGAAGGTAGGATTTCGTAGGTGTGACTAATCACCTGCGAAATTAGTGGTTATTTTCCGAAAATTGCTAATTTTGGCGATTTTTTTAAAAACAAGTAGCGTTTTTAGCTAAATTTATAAATTACTCTAAGAATAACTCCATCATTATCACCTCTAATTACGACCATGATCGCCAATCTTGACCATCACCACAAATCATCACCATCACCTTCAATCGCCACCACCACCATCACCATCAATCACAACCGATCACCACCACATTCAAATATCAAACTTAAAATAAAAATCAAATTGAAACATCTAACTGAAAAATCAAAACCACATTCACAACTATAATTAAAAAATCAAAGCATAAAAACTCACTCACCAAGGATGCATTAAGTCTATTTCTTTTGGCATGAAAACACACTCACTAATCATTCCATCTCCTCAACTTGCATACACATACGAACAACACCAACGCGTCACTATATATATCCTCACTAGAGTTTGAAAAGTATCACAAAACTAGGGTTTTATCCTTACTAGAAATTCAAACATGTTCCCTCCTTCTAACCCTAATCCTAAATCAAACTGAGAAGTAAAAAGAAGACGGAGAAGATGAGATGTTCGGAGAGAGCACATGTATGTTAATTGGGACACAAATTCTTGGAATTGAAGCCTAACCATCATCATCAACAATCATCACCACCATAAAAAGTTGTTCTTGGAGCTATAGGTGTGGATGCGATGATCGGGGGAGATGAGACAATGAGGAGAGCATAAGGGCTTGTTTTCAGGAGATGAGACGATAGAGGAAATGTGAAGGTTGGGGGAGGTGAGACTTAGGTGACAAGGTCAAGAGAAGGAATAACGTTAGGTTTCCAGCCATGTCAAGGGAAAAAGCGGTGATAGCTGAAGAGAAAGCGTGAGACCTCAAAGTTGTTAAGGCTTCTTTTATTTAATTTAGAGTAACTGGTCCTAAAATTTTACATGTTGTAACATCTTTGGTTTGAGGGTAAAAATGTATTTTTAAACTGTAGTTAAGAGAAAATTAAATGGTAACTATCTTAGGGATAACCAATGTAATTTTTTGAAACTATAGGGACCATCCAAGTCAAAGTATCAAAATTTAGACTAAAAATGTAGATTGATACAACCCACAAGGACCAAAACTGTAATTTACTCAAAAAGTTATTTCAGGAGCGGGGCCATGCTTTCAAGAGCCCAACGTCCGAAATAAAGGTGGCCATTGCTTTGGCCTTTCGTAGACATGTGAATCACGCTCTTTACCCACCCTCCCACATTTCAAATTCAATAAATACCACTTTTCCACTCATTTCCGGATCACTGAACGGCCAACGCCGTCGAGCATTGCCACCACCTCCGCTGTCAACCCAATTTCTCAACCTCATCTTCACTAGTATCGAAAGGAGCGGCGTAAAGCTTTGTTCTTTCTAGCTTTTTTCTACAATTAAATATCTCTTCTCAAAAAATAAATATTCTATAAAGCACATTGTTTGATATGTTAATTTTTAACACAAGTCATATTAGACATCAGTTCCATTTTTGATCTATATGTGATTATAGAAGCAAAAGATCATAAAATTAATATACAGTTGTTATGTTTTTTGATATTATATATCTGCCCTGACAAAAGTTTTCTAATGATAATCTTTTATATAATACTCATTATTATTTTGCCTATTTAATAAAATAGATTAGTTAGTAATAAAGTAATAAATGGTAAAAATCCAAATATGATCAAGGAGCATAAAATGAAAGCCTCAAAAAGAACGTGCTGGGTAACATATTTATTTATGTAGTAGTAATATTTCAGTGTAAGATGAATATAACTTGAATAGTTTAATGCTTCTGTAGTTAATTTCAAGAAGCATGGATCATGAGATTCAAGCAAAGCTACTTAGACGTGATGATGAAGAAGAAGGTGACTTGAAAGGAAGAATATGGAATGAATCCAGAAAGATCTGGAGGGTCGCATTGCCAAGTGTTATATCAAGAGTTTGCGCATTTGGAACGATTGTTGTCACACAATCATTCATCGGCCACATCAGCGATTTAGATCTTGCAGGTTATGCCCTTGTCCAAACACTAAGTGTCCGATTCGTCAACGGAATTCTTGTAAGTTTGCTATTACACTTGCTTCTTTAGCTTGTACATATAGGATCCGTTTTTACATAAAATAGTGTTTAGGGTACATTAGACATGAAGTGGGACCAATGTCATATTGTCAATTAAATTGATACTTATATTCCAATTTTTTGTGCATCTAAAAGATAGAAAAAGTTTGTCTGAGTTTGGTTATACAAAAATTGAAATGAACTGAAAATCTGAAACAACGCCATTTTATGTATAAGTTTAAGACCAAATTTCATAAAAACCATAGAAGTTTAAGGAGTTGTTATGGTTTAATCATTGGATCTTTTTTTTTCAAGTTTAACCGTTGAAACTTTGTATTTTAAAAAAACACACCACACCGTTTTTTCCGGCCGCGAGTTAAATAACATATGGAAGAATATTTTTTTAGGTGAAATGTGATTTTTTTTTTAAAGAAAAATAAAAATAAATCAAACCTTTGATGGTTAAATTGAAAAGATATTCTCCTCAAAATTTTAAGTTGGTAAACCAAACTATTTTCAAACTCTCATAGTTTCTATAGAATTCAAAGTTTTTTTTTTGTTTTTTTTTAAAGCAAACTCCCAGTGATTAAAATAGGAAAAAAAATTATTTCCATGGTTAAACCAAAAAGAGAAAAAAACTATAGTGGTTTTAATGAAATTTTCTCTAAATTTAATTGAATAAGAATGTTAACAACTAAAATTAACTAACATGATTTTGAGGTTTCCATTGAAAACTAAACATATGTTTATGGTGTATTGTGTTATTTTTTTAGTAAATTAATTGCTTTTCATTACTTTTTATCATGTTTTAAAGAGAAAAATAATAATAATAATAATAATAATAATAAATCTAACCAGAGAAAAGCAAAACACCTATTATTTTTTTGAAAAATTACTTGTTTACATTAATTATTATTAGTATCTTGAATGAAAAACAAAAAATTCAGTAAAAACCATAACTACAAAACAGGAGAAAGAAATCTCAAACATAATTAGCTTTTTCAAAGTCGAAATGTTATTTTTTTGGTTCAATTTCAATTTATGTAAATATCGAATGTGATGCTAAGGCTATTTCAACAATTAGAATTACAAGTGCATTCAAGTCTTTTATACTAACAAGTGATCGGTCTTCCATAGCAACATGCCCTTGTCCACACTTCTTAGGAGGACGAAACAAATATTTTTGTTCCATTATCAGTATTCCAATGGACGCTAAATATTATAGTACAACATATTGTGTAATCATTAATATATTTGCAGTTAGGGATGTCGAGTGCAACTGAAACTCTTTGTGGACAAGCCTTTGGAGCTGGTCAACACCACATGATGGGCATCTACTTACAACGATCATGGATAATCGATTTAATCTCTCTAACTGTCCTCATCCCAATTTTCATCTTCGCTGCACAAATCTTTAAATTTTTAGGCGAAAACGAATCCGTAGCAAACAGCGCGGGACACGTTTCTCTATGTTTTATCCCTTTCGTCTACAATTTCGTGTTTAGCCTCACAATACAAATGTACCTACAAGCACAATCGAAGAACATGGTGATTGCATGGCTTTCGATTTTTCAATTCGGGATTCATATCCCTTTGTCGTTGCTTTTTGTGTATAAGTTGAACCTCGGAGTTGGCGGGGCTATGATTGCTTTATCTATGTCGTCGTGGTTTCTTGTGATTGGAGAGTTTGTTTATATATTTGGTGGTTGGTGTCCTTATTCTTGGAGGGGGTTTACATCAACTGTTTTTAAGGATCTGTTTCCTGTTGTGAAACTTTCAATATCTTCTGGTGTTATGGTTTGGTAAGTTAGGAACAACCTTGTCTTTTTACAGTTTTGACTTTCACATTAAACTGATTAATTTTGAGACTTAACGTTAATATGAGTACTCTTAAAACTAGCATCATTTCTAGACACGAGGGTAAAATGAGTGTTATAATTGTAATGGGAAAAACTTTGTCATTCTTTATTAAGTCGTTCTTTCCATTACTTTACAATTATATTCAACATCACTTTCAAACACAAGTGTAAAATTGTCATATACTCTTGTATGGGATAAAGTGTGCTTGAAAAATATTAAAAAAAATGACGACACTCTTGGTGAAATTAGGGTAAATTTGAAAAATAAGACTTAACGGGGAAAGTATCATTTCTTGATATTCTGTCTTATGCCATCTTTTTGTTCTTTATTAAGTCATAAAAGCACTCATGTATAGCTTCGTAATGCAAAGTTTGTGTTCCGCCATCAAGTAAAATAGAAACATCTTACTTTCTATAAATGTAGAGTTTGCATATAAGAAAATGTGCACTTTTTGGTCAATAAAACTGAGCAAAACACTTTTTTATTTTTGTAATTGTAGCTTGGAGTTATGGTACAATGCTGGGCTAGTCTTGTTAGCAGGGTACATGGAAAATGCAAAGGTTTCAATATCTGCCTTCTCAATATGGTATCAGAATTTGAGCTTTCATATGTGTTTTACTTCTATCTTTGCATACAAATCACTAATGCTTGATACTTTTGCAGCCCTCAACATTAATGTATGGGAGTTCATGATCAGTCTTGGTTTCTTAGGGGCTGCATGGTACGTAACAGATCAAACCATTCACAAAGTTCATTGAGACCGGTCTATATAGGACTGGCCAAACTTTTATGTCTTTTTTCGATGATAAATATGAGAAGGGTATATATGTATTTTACACAAACAAGAATTAAAGAGCTAATCCCCATCCTACCTTTTTCAACTTAGACAAAAAAAATACAAATTTTGTTTTATTGAGAACGGTCTCGGTTTAAACTAATGAATTCCAAATATAATACAACATGTTTTGTGCAACAAAAGGGGACTTAAAATTCATGTTTTTTCCTGTACATTACATGTGTATCTGATGAACATTGTGTTGGTTAACAATATGCAGTGTCCGTGTTGCAAATGAATTAGGGAGAGGAAATGCGAAAGCAACAAAGTTTTCGATTAAAGTTTTGTTGGGAACTTCTATTGCAATTGGAGTCTTTTTCTTCATTCTCAGGTACATTAGTCAACTCTGTCACTTTTCTACTTTTTTAAATTCAACTCTAAACTTTCTACTTCTGGAAAGTCAAGCATTGGACTATAACCTACTATAGTGTGGGATTGGGCTCCGGATGATGTAATCTAATTTATATCTCATATGATGCTGTTAGGGTTGGGCATGGTTTATGCCAACTCATGGGTTGCTTGAAGAATAACATTTTTGCTGAAACACTAATATGATTTTTTTAGGGGTGGCGATTGGAGCGGGAATGCAGGGTACAGTAGCGATGGTGAACTTTGTTTGCTTCTATCTGATTGGTATTCCGGCAGGAGCTTTGCTTGGTTACACGACTAACCTCAAAGTAAAGGTATGCAACCCTTATGAGAACAATACTTACTTATAAGTGTTTATATTATGACAGTTTTTGGTTGGCTATGTAAGTAGGGTATATGGATTGGAATGATTGGTGGTGTCGTGACACAAACACTTGCGCTTGTTTATATGGTATCGACAACCGATTGGGATGATCAGGTAATTTTATAAGGCTATTTTTTCTATTTGTATGTGTTTTATTATTCACATTAAGTAGAAAAATTTAACTGGGTATTTATTGTAGGTTAAGCGGACTTCAAATCGGCTAAATCGGTTTTACGTGAAGACGTCTGATAATAAGGAAATTCGTTAGGAAAAAGTTTGGAGAAGGTTAACTTTTTGGTATTAAATGTAAGGTGTTTTTGTATTAGGTGTTAAATGAATAAGTTATATGTCTCATCATGATCCATACTTTCATTTGAAGTGGAGAAAGGCAATAAAAAATGGTAAATCATACCATTTGAGTGACCCATATCAATCTCTCCTAAGGCCCACATGGAAAGCCAATCAAGGAACACTAACAATATTTTGAATGTGCCAAAGTTTGAACCCTGCATGGAATTTCACTTCTCAACCGTTAGGATTCCATCGTGGAAAAAGTTTGAAAAGGCACTATATAACTCTAATGACAAATACCTCAACCCACAACTATAATGAAACAGATACCTTTCACATATCAAAAAACAACAAACACAATAATATTATCAAGCGTCATTAAAAACATGGACAAAACACAATGAAACAACTATTGTTAGAATTATCGAAGGGTTATAGACGTAGGATTTATATTGGTGTATAAAGTGTAAACTAAATTTTATGTTTTTGAAGATTTTTTTGTTTTATTTTTTTGCTATGTTAAATGGGTTGTTTGTAAATCATAAAGTTTCTATTATGTAAAAAGATGTGGTTAATATTTAAGATCAATTTAATTGGGCTTCCATCTTTTGGCCCACTTCAAATGGTTTTATGTTATTCGGTTCGGTCAATCTAAAAACCAATTTTATACCATTCACTTGGGTTTGGATGACCAACTCAAATCTAGACTTGCACAAAAGGACCAACCTCGGACTGAAACCCGAAAAAGGACCAAGACCGGACCGGTCTGAAACGAGACTGGTCCGAAAAAAGACCAGTTAAGACTGTCCGAGAAAAACCGGACCGTTCTGAGACCGGTCCACTGGACCGTTTCGAGACCGACACAAGACTGGTCCGAAACCGACCCAAGACCGGCCTGAGACCGATCTCAAAAAAGACCGCTAGCCAAAGTTCATAAATATACAATTTTTGTGTTAACTAGACAATTTTAATCACATACTATCTAACTTTATTTTTTTTTTATTTTTTTAAACTTTAGTGTATCATTTGAATAAAGTTTAATCTATCATTTTGGTGTTAATCACACATTTATTGAGGGAAAAACTCAAAACTGAAACTAAAAAACCAATAAATAACGAAACCGGACCGAAAACCCGAAAACCCAAAACCCAAAACCCAAACTAAAAAAGGCAAACGGAAAGACCGCGAGACCGGATTGAAAAAGATCGAGACCGATCCCAAAAAAGATCAGACCGAAAGAGACCGGTCTGAAAAAAGAACGGACCGAAAAAAGACCGTCTCGAGACCGGACGAGACCGATCCGAAAAAAGACGGGACCGCTCTGAGACCGACCACAAAAGACCGGACCGTTTCGAGACCGATCCGAGACACAAATGTACAAGTGTACTCAAAACAAATCAACTCAAAAATACGAAAAACAAAAAAAAACCGTCCGATGCCCCCCTTCTCAGATAACTATTTCATAGTTGTCGAGAGTGCTCTACGCAAATAGCTCACAAGTGACCATTTTAGCCATTTCTACTTTTTAATTTTTTTTTATAAAGTGTCCAAATAGAAATTGCGTTGGTTCATTGGAATCTATCTATATATATATCTATATCTCATAAAGCTAGCATTTTTCTTTGAACCTCGTGCATTTGAAACTCCCAAGGCTATTCAACTTATATTTTTATTCAAACCATATTCATTGGAAACCTCCTATTTGAATGAATATCACTTAAAAGTCTTTTAATAATGATTAACTATTCAAAGGTTTTATAACTTATATAATATGTTAATAAACAATTAATGGATAGTCTACTATAAAAATGCTAATATATTTGAGTAGAAACACAAATACAAATCACATACAAGTAAAGCTAGCATTTTTCCTTGAACCTCATGCATTTGAAACTCCTAAGGCTATTCAACTTATATTTTTACTCAAACCATATTCATTTGAAACCTCCTATTTGAATGAATATCACTCAAAATTCTCTTAATAATGATTAACTATTCAAAGGTTTTATAACTTATATAATATGTTAATAAATAATTAATGGATAATCTACTATAAAAAGGTCAATATATTTGAGTAGAAACACAAATACAAATCACATACAAAGTTCACAAAGAAAACAAGTTTAAAGGTTTTTGTGTTAGCATTTTTCCTTTCACCACATTCATTTGAAACTCACATGACTTTTCAATTTCTTTCTAATAATGATTATAAGTTGGTTAATAAGGTTAAATAAATAGAAAACCTAAAGTGTAATCATATATAAACTAAATTTCAATATTAAAATAATATTTTTACTTTTACTTACAAAATTATGTCTTTAACTATTAACATATTATACTTAATTTATTAGTTTTAAAATGTTGTTGTATGTAAACCATTATCAATTTAAAGCTACAACTTTTGAAAAATTTGGATAAAATACTTAAATTGTTAATTTAAATATAACATTACAGGGTTAACTTAAATATAAATTTTAGTTCAACTTAAACAACCCAAAGAATATTGTGTAAATAGTTAAAAGTGATAAATTGTAGTGTATTTCTACTAATGATTATAAATTGGTTAATAAGGTTAAATAAATATCAAACCTAAAGTGTAATCATAAATAAACTAAATTTCAATATTAAAATAATATATTTACTTCTACTTATAAAGTTATGTCTTTAACTTTTAACATATTATATTTAATTTATTAAATTTAATAGGTTGTTGTATGTAAACCATTATCAGTTTAAAACTACAACTTTTGAACAGTTTGGATAATATACTTAAATTATTAATTTAAATATATACATTACATGGTCAACTTAAATATAAATTTCAGTTCCTCTTTAAAAACCCAAAGAATATTTTGTGAATAGTTAAAAATGATAACTTGTAGTGCTAAATACAAAAACTAAATTGTAATCTCAATTTAACTAAAATATTTCCTAAAGATATTTTTATAATCATTAAAAGTTTTCAAATAAGTAGCTTAAAATAACTTACAATAACAATAGTTAAAAATAACTTTATATAAATGATTATATTGTTAAATTTAAAAACAAAAAACAATGTTTGATGTTTTAAATAATTACAACTATAGAAATTAAGACGTTGAACAAATAATTTTTAAAAAATTAATTAACAATAACAACAACTATAAATAACATTAAACTATATATTATTTTTTCTTTTTATTCATAAGTAACCTGCGGATAAAGTTTTATTCAAACGATCGAGATTATGCAGTTTTAAAAGTTATATATATTATCATATAATTCAAAATAATCAATATAATAGTTTTAATAGTTATATATATAATCATATAATTCAAAATAATCAATATATTATATTATATGAACTTATGAACTTAGTATGCGAATTATTATATCAACTTTAACAACAATAACAATCGTAAATTAAAAACTTTCCATAAACGCGTGACTTTCTCTCACAAGAAGATGATGAAAAATCCAAACCCTATCTCACGTTCGTTTAATCGTTGTGTGCAGAGCCGACACCATATTCTTCACGCCTTCGTCTTCTTAATCGAGTTCCCCAGGTGAGTCTCTCTCTCTCTCTCTCTCTCTCTCTCTCTCTCTCTCTCTCTCGCGCGCGCGCGTACTAGTATGTAGAGCGATTGGGTGTCTTTTCTTACTGATTATCTTCCTGCTTATTGAGAATCGATTTCTGTGTTCTTCAAAAGATACAGAGCTGAATGTCCACGAACAATATATTATTATTCAAAAATAAAGTTTACCAAAAACAAAGAATAAAAAAAAGACAATACCAGCGGACAAGGCAAGGAGTGGTTCTCCCAGGGCCGTCTCGTGGGCCTGGGCAAGCTGGGCGACCTGCCCGGGCCCCCAAATACCAAAGGCCCCCCATTTTGCATTTGTTATATTGAGTTAGCCCATTATTTTTAGCCTAGTCCACTAGTTATCAGGCCCAATGATAATATACGGAGCAAGAGGAACCGAAAAGCAGGAGCAAGATTAATTAGCGTCAGGCATGCGTTCACAAATCCCTATTTCCGTAGCTCATCAACAATTTCTATGGAGACTCCAAATACACCGCTTCCACTTCTCTAGACTCCACACAACAGTTACTTCGATTCTTCTATTCTTCTGATTCTTTTTTTTTCTTTTCTAATTTCTGAATCTCATCATCCCACAATTTCTTCCACCCCCTCTGAATCTCTGTTCGATTTTCCCTTTAGAGTTGAGACATTGTCGCCTTGACCCTTGATCCTTACACTGATTGCATCAAGCGATTCTTCATTCTTATTTTTGAAATTAATAGAGCAACAAACGAGATTCTTGAATTTATTCTGAATCTGTGTAAGTTTCTTTCCGAAAGACTAATTTCTGAATCAGAAATAGCCTTTGTTAATTCTAATTTCTGAAATACCCCTATGTTTCTTGTTTTTTGTTTCTTTCTGAAGGATTGAATTATTCTGAAGTTCGAGAATCAAAGAATTCAAAGACGCAAATCATGAATTAATTTCTGAATCTGTGTAAGTTTAATATGATTCAAATTTCAATTTTTGTTCTTACACTTGAATACATTTATACAAATTTCGATCTTAGACTTTTAAATTCGATTTTTTAATCTGATGCGAATACTGATTTTTTTTCTTACACCATCCCATTCTAAATTCCAGATATATGTTGTATTTCTGAATTCTATTGCATTTCACTTTCTTATAGCAGATTAGAGAATAAGAAGATTAAATAGTTTGGCCACGTTATGAATTAAGAAAGATTTGCCGGATGATATTGAATTTGATAGAATGATAACTTTGCACCGGTAAATGTAATTTTTTTTTTGTTTTTCTTTGTTACCTTTATGTATTAAGGTTCATAATGTTTCTTTGTTTTTTTGTATTTAATAGTTGTTAAGCTGTTTGGTGGCTTTTGATCCTGTCTGGAAGCCTTTTTTATTTTTATAGTTGGGGAATCCCGGCCTACAATTGTATTATTTTCTTTAGTTAATAAAATTTTTCGGAGGTGTCAGAAAGGTCCCCATTTTGTATTTTGCCCCGTGCCTCAAATTGTCTTAGACCGGCCCTGGGTTCTCCTTTGACATTCCTGGTTAAAAAGTCAGAAATAGCCATGGTGATGCAACGATAAATGACGTTCTCTGCCCATGATTCCATGTCAAGAGGACCTTGTAAGATGGATCTTCATGTGCTGTTGAAAGGCTTTGAAAGCTAAGCAATACCAATATCAGAAACGAATTTGACCTCAATTCATCATTGGCAACATAAAGTTCAAGTTTCCTGAAGCTCTTAGTTCTTGATACTGTACAGTATTAACACTTTCCATCTTGACTCTGTCACAATGGCGGATTCAATTCAATAGGAGTGGGGTACATGGCCCCTACTTAAATTTTTTTTCCTTCTAGTAATATGCAAAAAAAATAATTTATCTCGTTTTTATTTTAAACTATGGACCCACTTCGCAAACATTGGTCCCCACTCATTTACGCCTTGTTCCCGAGTTCCACTTAAGAGAGAAATGAGAGGATACGGAGGGAAAGTGAGGGGTGTCGAAGGAAAATCGTGTTCCCGAGTTTCATTAATGGAAGGAAAGTGAGGGGAGGGAAAAGATTTTGGAGTCATATTTTCATTCCAAATTGGACGGATTTGGGAAGAAAGTGAGAGGAAGGAAAATTTTTAGTTTTATTTTCTTTTTCCTCCTAACTCGGGAACACAAAAACTTAAAATTTTTCTTTCATTTCTTTTCATTTCCTTCGAACTCGGGAACACGAGTCACGAAATAATAAATATTTTCTAAAAACCTCCCTTTCTTTCTGTCAAAATTTTCCATCCGTTTTTACAAAAAAAAAAAAAAAAAAAAAACCCTCCGGAACAAGGCGTTAGATTTCTTTCCCTCGTCCATTTTTCTCTTCCTGTCTATTCTTCTCTTCCGTTCTTTGACCTAGCCTACCAAGTACCCAACAAGTGGAAACCATGGTCCATAGCACAAACAAATGAAAATCGTCGGGAATTAGCACTCCACAACCACCGCCCACCGTCGCCAAAACTTCGCACAATCCAGGCACACATCACCGCTGCCTAACGTAGTGACGCCATTGCCTGAAGCCGCTCACCACCGGCTGACCGACACCATCTGCCGCCGCACACGACCCACCACCGTATGACGCCGCACAACACCGCCGACGAAAAGTTTGTAAGTTTGTTGCACTGATTTCTTTTGATTTTGTGTTCAATTTTCAGAAATTTGGTTTGAAACTCTCAAATCAGATTTTGTGATTTTGTGTTCCATTTCTAAACTGAAATGGGTTTATCTTGCTTAGTGGTTTTGTGTGAACTGATTTTAGTGATTCCTGATTTCTGATTTTTGCTTTGATACTTTGAACTGAATTTAGATTTAAACTGAATTTTGCCTTGATTTAATACTATTGGCTGATTAATTTGGATTAAATGGGTTTGATACTTTGGTTAATTTGGATTAAATGGGTTTGATACTTTGGTTTGTTTTGCTTAATAGTTATGTGGGACAATGGAAAGATATATAACCGATTAAAAAGGGTGTACAAAGTTCAGATTTTTACTTAACTGTTTTGCTTAATAGTTTTGAACTGACTTAGTGACTTTGCCTTTGTTCTATGTTGAATGGTTTTGTTTAATGATTTTTATTGTTTAATGGTTTTTTATTGTTTAACCAAATCGATTCCAAATGAAATTTTAAATTATTGTGTAATTTGCACAGTTGAAACATAAAATTTTTCCAAGGTTAGGAATGAAAATATCATCAATGGATTTTTTAGTTATGTGTCCTAGATTTCAATTGTAAAATGACATTTAAGGTTATAATGTTATTCTACTTCTTGTTATTTTAATTTTTTCGTATTAATTTATATGGTCAACGGTCAACGGTGCACCCCACTTGACTTCCGGGCTGGATCCGCCACTGCTCTGTCAGCCTCTCAGGCTCAGGGTTTTCTTTTAAGTTTATGATTTTGTAGGAGTTCACTCTTTATTTGATAAAATTGAAAAGTCTAATTGCAATGAATTTTAAGTAAAATACAATGGTGAACTTGACTATTGTATTTTACTTAATTTCATTGCAATTGGATTTTTGATATTATGTTACGTGGCTTCTTCGAGTAATTCTCATCTAGGGTTATAATTCTTAATATTTCATTGAAATTCTTTTGCTTTGACTAAATCTGTTTCTTCCACGTTTTCAGAATCTGCTCCTTGTTCTGAAGCTTTGGTTCCAACTTTATAAGCATCATTTCAATCATGGAAATCAAAGATTGGGCAGGTGGATCAAGTGATTCAGACATAACTGCACCTGATAGTGATAATGAGGACCATTGCTATGCATATACTGATTTTCCCAAGTTGCAGTTTAGGTGCTCTCTCTCATTTAACCCTTTCTCTTATCAAGTTTTCTTACAACATTGAGTTTTAATTTTCAGGAAAGATATATCAAAGGCTCGTTGGAAACAAGATGTGGGAATGGCTGAGATTGTTAGTAATAAAGGCAAATTGTGGACAACAACAGGGATAGTTCGTGGTGGGAAGTTATATAGTTTTCTTGAAGATACATTGTAAGTCAAAGGAGACAAATAAAAAAAAAAAACTTAATACTTTACAACTTCTTGGTTACATGTTATAAAATGTTTGATGATGTGTAGGTTTTTGGCAGAGATAGGGGCATTGCATCTGTTAGATGATGAGGATAAATGTATTCCACTTGAAGATATTTATAAAAAGGTTGCAGAAGGTGTAGGTGGATCTTCATGGGATTCATTTGAGGTTTACAGGCATCTTAAGTCATTAGGTTATATAATCAAGAGGCATGGTGTTTGTTGGAGCATAAAACGTGGTAAAAGTGAAGAAAACAGTTCTATAATGGAAGTTACTGAGTTGTTTAGTAGTATGGAGATAAATGAAGTGAGTAAAAAACTGGTTTTTGATGTTTACCCTCCAAACAGCAAGTTTAGAAAGTCAAATCCAGGCAATCCGATCTTTATTCTCTGTATAATTAGGTAAGATGACCTTATAAATTCATATTTTGTTATCTTTGATAAATAAATCATCCTAATTCATATTCTCTGAATTGTTTTTTGTTTTTTGTTTTTTTTGTCTCTTGTAGTGGCAACCCACCAACCAAGAAACAGATTGAGGAACTTGAAGGACAATGTGAAGGCATCCCTTTAAAGTTTTGTTATGTTGAACATGGACGTGTAAGTTTCTTTTCTTTTAATCAAATTGAGCTTCCTGTTCTTCCTTGAAAACGAATTTACAACTGATAGAATACAGATTCGAGATAGTGATTTTCTAAAGTTTCTATATTCTTATTATCTGTATATTTTATTTATTAATTATTCGGATAATACAATTGGAGACATATAATGGATCTACATTTAAAGGTAGAAAAATGTCTAGAAAATGAAGAGAACAAGAAAGTTCATTTTGTAATGATCCAGTTGAGAAGACTAAAAAGTGCGATTCCAAAGAATGTTATTTTTGGTGTTTCTTTGTTTGTTTTATAAATTGAAAGATATGTTGGTTTTGCTTAAAACACGAATCCTCCGTTTTCATAAAATTGGAAGAGCTTTTTTTTTTTTTTTTTTTTTTTTTTAACCGGCAAATACAAATATATAAATCTACTCCTAATCTAACACCTAATATCACTTATGTTCACGACGGGACTTGAACCCTCAACCTTAAATTCTTATCAAAGAGACTTGACAAATTCCAAACATGTTTTGTAATGGATTATACTTTTTAAAACTATATTAAAACAGAATATAAACTTGATAAAATACATATAAGTTTTTTTTAGATATAAAAAAAGTGTTTAAAAAAGAGAGTTTAAATATAAAACCTTTTAAACAACAAAAAACAAAAAGAAACAAATAAACGTGTGTTTTGTTTAAAGTTAAAACGTATATTAACATTTCTAATTATATTTATTATATATATAACAAAAAAGGACCCAAAACAAAAAATGGGCTCTATATAACATTTTTAATCATATTTATTTTATAGATAACGAAAAATGGGCTATATAAGGACTCGAAACAAAAAATGGGCTATATAACATTTTTGATCATATTTAGTTTATATATAACGAAAAGTGGGCTATATAAGGACTCAAACAAAATAAAACAAATAAACCGAGTGAGGTGATTGGGGAACATGTAGCTTAACTAAAACTAGAATGATATAAAATTTAAGGATAAACCTGTCAATATACGAAAGTTTTGGGGCTAAAGTCTGAAGCCCAACAAATATAGGGATTAAATCTGTCAATATATCAAAGTTTTGTGGCTAAAGTATGAAACCCAAAAACTCCAAGGACGAAATCGACAATATATGAAAGTCTTATGGTCAAAGTATTAAACATATAAAAATGTCGTGACAAGTCTCAAACCCAACACTATTATGACCAAAGTCTCATGCAACTTTCTTCCTTTTATAAGGCGATAATGAACAACCGGGTTAAATTAAAGATTCAACCAAAACAAATATTAATGGCTTAAGTTAACTTACCATAGCATCATATAGTTTAAACGAGAGTAAAAAATGACCGTTTATGCAATGGCAAAAAAAATCAACAACTCACATTATAAATTAAGTACTTTGAAGCATGTTAAAAAAACGAACTTTGATGATATTTGAGTGATATTTTTCTGAGGCTTTCCATACGCTTTGGAAAATATATTTTGATATATAACACTTATTATTGGGTTTTATTGTATTGGACTTAGGCCTGTAAACAAACAGAACAGAATGTTCATCGAACCGTTCGGCGGGAGTTTGTTCATTTAATAAATGAACAAAAATGAACATAAATCTCTGTTCATTTAGTTAAATGAACCCCGTTCATTTACGTTCATTTATTTTCGTTCGTTTAAGTTTATTTATGTTCATATATGTTCAATTGTTTTTATATTATATTACTATATCATATGTACGTTTATGTTCATATATGTTTAATTATGTGTGTTTATTACTGTTCGTTTATGTTCGTTTAGCATGTTCATGAACATAAACAAACGAACATGAACAAGACACTTTATTAAACAAAAACGAACGAACATGAACAAGAAAAGTTGTTATCTGTTCGATTTCGTTCGTCTGTTCGACTAACTTAAACAAACGAACATCAACAAGCCTTGTTCGTGTTCGTTCGGTTCGTTTAGAGCCTTAATTGAACTCATTAGGAAACTAAAATTTTGCATATAGATTTGTGGTCAATTTGTCAAGTGTAGGGTAATTTGCACTTTGACTTTGTCTGTAGCTCTCTATGTATTTGGAATAATCTTGTTTTTCAAAATTCTCTTATTTTTCCCATGTATATCTTGGAAAAACCAAGGCAATTGAATTGAATTAGCAAGTCTCCAGACTGATTTACTGGAGCAGCCGAGCAGGAGAAGTCACATCACTGAATCAATCATGCCTTGACTAGATCAATTCACTTATTTCACACAATTCTTCTGGTCATGCATTTTCCTCTTTACTTTCTATATTGCCATATGCAATGATGGAGATGGACTACTTGGGATCAGCAGAATTCTAAAACTACGTAACCAACTGCTTTCACACCGTACGAACTACATCCGGAGCAAGGAACCCAACAGTTTGGAAGATATCTTGAGAAAAGGTTTTTGCACCGGTCTATCCTATATGTACTCCAGTTTATTCGAAGTCTCCCAATGGTCGAGTTTTATGTACAGACAATTATGTTTTTGTGGATGGTTGTTGGGTTTCTTTGGATTTACCTGTGTTATTTATTTCCCTATATGCCCTTCATAGGGTAAATGATAAAAAAGAGTTATGATCTACTTTGTTAAGACTACTTCACAAGTGGGAGGGTGAAGTCATTTTGTTGGGCGATTTTAATGAAATGGGGGAAGTCACAAAGCGATTTGGATCGGTTTTTAATGTTAGACTTACAGACTTATGTAATTATTTTATTTATGATGTTGAGCTTGTTGATGTGCCTTTGGGTAATTATTCTTTTACTTGGACGGATAAGTGGGCATCAAAGATGAATAAGTTGGACACATTTTTTTTGGTGTTTGAAGGTATTTATGATGCTTTTCCTTGTATTACGAGTGTGGTTTTAGAGCGTAACATCCCAGATTTATAGAGCATGAAAATATGATTCCTTGGATTTAAAGAACGTCGAAAACGGAGTTCATATGCAAAAGTTATGACCGTTTAAAAGAAACGAACAATCAAATAACAATATGTTGCATGTAACGGCTAGAAATGACACTTCAAATGTTGCATAGGGTACTTTAAAATGTGATTCTTTTAATCCTGAACAATTATCCCATAAACACCAATCAATCTAGTATTTGATTTTGGAACTAACTTATTTTTCCCGAAAAAGTCTGACACCACTGTGGATAAGAACAAAACAGCACAACATAGGCTTTATCGAAACGAATCTTCAAATGATTGGTTGGAATAGCAACGCAACTCGTTAAGTGAAAATGGTAACATTTTTCAAGTCAGGTAATACCCTAGTATTTGATTCTATTCTCGGAATTTCGTTCTCACGAAGTTTTGACACTATCGCAAAAGGGATAATGACTTAAAAGGGTAATGTATTTTTCGATTTGTACACATTTAGTCACAAAGTTTTTTTTTCGTCGACATTTACCCCTTCAACCTGTTAAACTGTACACATTCAGTCCTTATGACCGGCTACTTCAGGTTAGCCGGTAAAAATTACTTAATAGGGTAATATATTTCTCACTTTGTATACATTTAGTCCTTAATATTTTTGTACACTTTTAGTCCTTATTTTATTATTATTATTTTTTTTTTGCAAAATAAGTCATTTTTGTTTTTGTACTCATTAAATACTTATGAATGATTTATTTAGTTTTTTCTCACGAAATCTTACGTGGGAAATTCATTAATGAAGTGTGTGGGCCTTTTGATGCTTATGTCCATTGCGATCTCGACTACTTGATTGCTTAGGTCATGTGTTCTGAACGTCATAATTCTTCATACGATCTTGGATTTTAACGATCTTTATATCCATGCGTTCGTATTTTAGTCTGCTACAACTTTTATTTAGATTACTCCCATTAAAAAATAATATATTTTTACTTACGATTTTTATATCCATACGCAGGGGCGGATTTACCCTAGTCTCGGTGTTGCACCGACAACAACTGTTTTTTTTGTCCGCAGTGGAAAATTTTTTGATTTTTTTTTTCGTTTATAGCTCTTTTTCATATATCAGCAACACCTATTTCATCTCGGCAACACTTACTATGTATTCTTGCGTCTGCCCCTGTCCATACGTTTTTATGAATGCATATATGAATGTTTTTTTTAAAGAAAAAATCGTAAGTAAAAATATATTACATTTTAACGGGAGTAATCTTAATGAAAAAATGAACACGTGGATATAAAGATCATTAAAATCTGATATCGTATGAAGAAGTTACGACGTTCAGAATACAAGACCCAAGCCAAACCACAAGACCTACGCAACCAAGTAGTCGAGATCATGTTGGACATAAACATCAACAACCCCAAACAACTTATCAATGATTGTTCCACGTAAGATGTCGTGAGAAAAACCTAAAGAAATCATTTATAAGTACTGAGTGAGTACAACAAAAAGACTTATTTGAAACAAAAAAATGTTAAGGACTAAATATGTACAAAAATATTAATGACTAAATGTGTACAAAATGAAAAATATATTACCCTATTAAGTCATTTTTCCCGGCTAACTTGAAGTAACCGGTCATAAGGACTGAATGTGTACAGTTTAACAAGTTAAAGGGGTAAATGTTGACGAAAAAAAAACTCAGTGACCAAATGTGTACAAATCGAAAAATACATTACCATTTTAAGTCATTATCCCATCGCAAAAACAGTCGAATCACTGAAATAAAAAATCCTCTAATAAAACACTTCAAACTCTTATTTAACGGAAGCAGTGAACGAAGGTAGACGAAATCTCACAGGTGCGCTTCGTCAGTTGATCCGCGAAGAGGGAGAAGTCTCCGGGTCAACGAGTCTGAAAGGGAAGAAAGAGGGAGGCAGCGAGGCTGCTGTTCAAGTAGCTTCTCGGCTGCTTGCTTCGATTCCAGCAGCGGTGTGCAAAGGGGAGATGCGTGGGTGAGGTACGAGAGGCAAAAGAGGTCCGATGGAAGTCCGGTTGGCAGCCATACGTCACTGGTGAGGGCCTCGATGGTGTTTGCTCGACAATCCCGATGTTTCCCCCTTGTTTTAGCAGTCCCGATCAACCACAAGTAAAAAAATGTTTCTTTTGGGTTTTTGTTTATCTGTTCATGGGAAAGGGGCTGTAGGGGTAGTGAATATCAACATGAGACATTGAGGGGTGATTTGGGTTTAATTTTTGAAAGAAATCGATGATTCTTTGGGTTGGGTCGTTTGACAGGGGATGAACAAGAACTTGGAGGCTGCTGTTTATTGATATCAAAAGGAAGAAGA